AAAGAAACTATTTACCTGTTTTAATTTTTAATTTTTCATATATATATATATATATATTAAAAATATATAATACACATTCAAATTCTAATTTCGGCTAAAGAGTTATTGTTTATAGAAATATAATGTTAACACTGCGCGCAAACTCTTGCCTCTCGCGGAGTAAATAAATGAATTTATAGATATAAATAAGTTTTACTGGATGCAGACAATATTATAAAGATATCCCATCTAAGTTCACTTTACTGATTTTAAATTATGGGATATTAATGGTTAGAAAGCGATCCCAAATGATATGGCATGAAGAAATCAAAATTTTATATTCGATATCGATATTCTAAGTTTAAACAACAATAATAATATATCAAGTAACAAATTCTTCTGTTAAAAATATTCAAATAAATTTTGTTTTCTTTTAATTTCTATAAATGGAATGAGCAACAAAAACATTTTTATAAATTATAGGAATAGGTGATGAGATTAGCAGGACGGAGCCGACTTTATAAAGGGAGCTTCTAGCTGGGATCACTTACCTGGGTAATCAAGTATCTTTGATATGTGGAGATAGATTATTCCAGGAATGGCACCACGAAACCTCGAATAGTAGTTCATTTCACTGGTTTATTAAAAATATCTGATAACAAGCTTTATAAACATTATATAAAATATATAGTATTAATCCAATAATTAATTGTCAACATATAAAATAGATATTACAATACAATTTCTTAACGTATGTACAGAATGCCTGACCAAGATCGGATTTAACGGTTTCTACAGATGAGGTGGAGCCTTGTTAAAGAGTACGATCTCGGAGTCTGCATGATGAAGTCTTAATTGTGAATTCGTTTAGTTACAGTTTCACAGTTTCTCAAAAATCTATGATGACATGCTTTATTATAATGTTGGGGATCCGTAACTAAGCAAATTAATATTCCATTATTGGGTTATTATATGCTGAATTTGGCCATTATTTTGTGTCTTTCAACCTGAGAGTTTATAAAGGGAAGCTAATAAATGTTGGTCAGGCTCCCTATGTCAATATAGGTGATATATAATTTTTTAAACCGGTAAATACCCTCTATGTGAAGTTTATTATAAGATTATATGAACATATATAACAATTAGACATACTTATTTATAAGGCGATAACTTGCCATTTATACATAACAAATAGAAGTATCAAAGCACGTATGTTTATTTTAAATATAAAACAAACTTGTACTGTCCTTACATCGCAGTAAGGACAGTAACAATTTGTTTTATATTTAAAATAAACATTCGTGTTTTGATGCCTTCATTTCTTATATACGACAGTTTTAGCGCAGAGTTCTTGGCGCGAGCAGCCTTTAAAATTAAGACATCGCCAAATGAGAGAGAGAGAGAGCTATAAAATTATCAAATTAAATTTTATGGGAAACTTGGGATGAAGTTAATTGAGGCTGCCAATCACCAATGGACTCCAAATTATGGATATTAGCGCCGTGTAAGATGTCAGTGAGGTTCCAGACTTACTCAACCTTACTGGAAGATCGCTTCATTTTGTTAGCAGAGTTTCAAGAGAACAAATACATTATATTGAGGAATAGAACATGTTATTACTCGGAAAATCATAAAAGCCGAATATTATAAAGACTTTTAAATACCCTAAAAACCATATATGTGTATAATAGCAAAGAAAAATATGAAAATGATTTCGAGCATCATATAATTGTTTTTAAAATAACATATTAATTGAAATTTCATCAATGCCTCGAGAATTTGTTGTGTGATTCTTATTTTTTCTTTTCCTCCTAGTGATTGGATTGTTGTAAAAAAAAATAGAGGTATGAAGTAACATATATATAGTGTTATGGAGATAATAATACATACATCTATAGTTATATATATAGAGTGAGATATATAGGGTTATAGATAAATAGTCACTGTGAGTCATATATTTAATCTTCATATAAACCTATAGCATTCAGTATATTTCTCTCAAAACTCTTGCTTCAACCTTCTTATTTTGTCCTCGGAGTCTCGTCTGGCATCGTCTGGATTAGAATCACAAACCTTCGGAAATCTATCGCCGCCGTTTTACCATCACCAAATGCTGACCGTCTAGGTGTTTTAACGTTCTGGTCGATTGTACCTGCTCGGGTTGTTTCTTTATAAATCGTTCTAATACCAGGGTTTCTCCTTATATATATAAGCCCACTTCTCCCGTCGTTTATTTTTATAGATCAATATCCTTCCGGCAAAATTTCCATTTATATTTTGGCCATAGATTTGGCCCACCCACTCTGCCAGATAAATCCTCTTTGACAGATTGTGAAGAACTTTCTTTATTTGATCTCGTGATGATATTATGGAATAAACCCCGCCCTGGTCTAACGAGGGCCATAGACCGAAACCATGTTCTCCAGATTGGCGCTTCTCAGTTTTACAAAGCTGATGTTGTGGCTTTGTCACCTATCCTAGGCCGCTGGTTTACAGCGACCATCAATAGATGGCGTTTAGTTTTGACGAAATAAATTACCATTATTTTTAAAGATCAGTATCCCCTCGTTTTGAAACTAATGTATTCATTCGAATCTTTATTTACCGGATACCTTTCCGTTCATTCTGTAGATCACGATGTAATAAAGGCACAAGACACAATTTAACTGCGTGTGACACGACACCTCTATTAACACGGCACATGTGAGAGCTGGCCGTCAATGGCATTATAACACGGAAATGTCACGGAAATATATTGTACGTTTTGGTATGCAATTATTAATCACTAATCAAGCGGGTTGTCTATTGTTCCTCGTCTCTCGAACGCTAATTTGTATATGAATACTTCTATTGTATAGAAACACTTGTATATATAAGTGGATATGAAGTATGCAAGAGGTATACAAGACATATATAATCAAAGTATACAAGAGTAATTTAATTAATATACAAAATAGGCATAAATATTCAAAAAGTAGAGAAGGAGTGTAGATGAAGCATTGAAAGAGTACGTAGCATATTCTACACACTAAAACGTATTATAGAAATAACCGGCGTCGGATTCAGAGAAGCTCGCTTCCCTATCATTGTTGTAGAAAAGAGCCATATTCGCCGTTGTTTTCTCATTGTGTGCTTGTTACCCCTATTTGAATATTTATAATAAATTAAATCATATTTTCATATTTCTTGATCATTACAAATACAACAACGCAAATTATTTAGAACTAATAATAATTTAATTCAACATATGCGAAATTGAAATCTATACATGTTTGGCGTCCTAAAACCGTGAGCACCTTTAATAACCTTAACTTTTTTTTACTCTCTCTCTCTCTCTACTTTAAAAAGCTAACTTTTGTTTATAGAAACTGAGAACACACAACTAAAACATAAATATAGCTTAATTTATTGTTCTCTCCTATATTATTATGAAAAAAACGCCACATATATAGATATTACTTTATAAAATATTCCCAATAAAACTTCGTTAATTCGATACACACACTTCAAGTAATTAGAGATACACTAATTATGTGGGAAAACTTTACCACAACCCAATGGCGGGTAAATTATCCATAATTTGTTTTCCTATAATAATAAATTCACGCTTAAAGGCAAACACCTTTTTTTCTCTATCTCTCTTTCTGAGGGCATTTTAAAGAATAAAAAATGCATTTGGAAATGCATTTAATTTAATTTTATTTATTTTTATGATAATAGTAGAAATAAAACCAGGGAGGAGTGAATAATAATTGACATAATTAAGCGTATACATGATTCATAAAATAATTAAAAAATTTCTATTCAATTTTATTTTGAAGGCAGTAATTAATAAAGAGAAAGTGAGATTTGAAAAATATCATGATATAAATTATATAGAATTATTTATGGGTCTATATACAAGTGTATTAAGATTTATATAGAAGCTCTTTGAGAGAATGAGAATACCATCTCCATATGCATTGTTTATAAGGATGTTTCAAATAATTTTGAATCAAATTGCTTAGAATTTCTCCACCCAGAAGTATGATGACAGACTTCAACTCAAGACTTCCGATAGAATCCTTTCCAGCCAATCGGAAACATCACTCTGAAACAGTTATCAAATCCAAGAGTCAAACATTCACACAGCGGTAAAAGTGGCTGAATAGCTAGTTCGGGGCAATTGTTCACGTGTCACATCGCGCTACTGTGAGTTTGTCAATATTTATAATTCACGAATTTACCATTGTCCTCATACTGTTTCTCTTCATACGGCGCATTCAATAATCCTGCACCGCGCCATTTAATTTATAATAAGATGTTTCCGGATTGGAAATCACTCTTCATCTTCCATCGAATTTATGCCATTATTAAATTGTGAGTACCATTCAAAATTTTAATTTTGTTTTACATTTTCATCGCCGAATACTAATATAATAAAATATAAAATTCCAAAGGTATACTCGCTGACTTTGTAACTATTAATGCTGATTAATTTGAAGATCCCCCTAGTAACTTCAGAAAAAACGTTATAAGAAAACTATTTTGGCCAGTGAGCTTATTCTCTTCGACTTACATCCCCTCAGCGAATATTCAAGAACAACTCCACACAGTCTGGCGCCATCTGCGATATTTCCACTCCATTATCACCACAGTACCAGAGTAACAAAATTTCCGTAATGAACTCTGAAAAATGGTTTCTTTGTTCAACCTTCTTTAAAATAAATGTTTCGTACAGAATTTCTTTTATTTAGGTAATTTGTTTAAATGTCTCCTTTTGTTAGAAATAGAACTCAAAGTTAACTTCGGGCGTGTATGCCTATAGACAGTATTACACATACATATGGTATTTGTCGATTATTTTACACACGACAGAATATATAATTGTCCAACTATAAAACCTGCAGGCAATGCAGATGGTTTTACTCAAATTCTCCGTATCTAACGGAATGGAAATATCTATATTTACCGGGCTGCTATCCAGAATGGATTGTTTTCTAAAATAAGCACAGGTGAGATGCGAACAAAAAAAAGATAATAGCCTACAGCACCCGGTGTTCCCAGGTGGTCACCCTCCCAAGTACTGACCGGGCCCGACATTGCTTAACTTCGGTAATCGGACAAAATATTCCTACGCTGGGAATCGAACCCGGGTCTCCTGGGTGAGAGCAATCCGTATCTAACGGCAGCGATGCTTCAGAACGATATTCTATAAATATGTATAGATCATCTTGGTCAGTCAGGAATTAATTAATAACTTAGTATAAGTTTCGCATTCAATTACCATTACAATTACCGTCACAATATATTGGCTATCAGAAATTGATAGTGAACATAAGAGGTGTCGTACAGAGTAGATCTCTGGTATATCACACCTATGTTATTACAATATAGCCTCGCTGGCCTGGCTGTCTGAAATATGGAAAGACACCCTGCTGGATGTGGTCTTCCAAGGCGTGCTAGATTATGTCGATTCACCGTTTTCTATTTACCATTTTATAGAGAGATTTCGATCATAAAGGTAGTGTGTTGCTATCAATCGGTGGGTAACGTAAAGAAGTACAGACTTCGGTCTAGGTAGCCCACTATCAATCAGTGTGTAACCTAGAAAACTACTATTCATCAGTTTGTAACCTAGATGTGGCCATGTGTACAATTCATATTTTATAATTCTAGTAGTGTTAATCTAAACACTTAGGTTATTATAAAATATCTATAATAAGTTTCAAATTCCAACCCCTCAGTATTTCCCAAGAATTATCGGAATGTAATTGCTGGCTGGTCCATCAATAATATTGGCCAACTTGTTACCTTTCGCAAAAGAATTCTAACGTTGATGGAGTGGTGATTCAAAATCGATCGAGTAGCGTTATTAGAATAGTGCTATATATAACTTCGAAGTAATGGAGCTGTAACATCGCTAAAGTGACGCTATGATATCAATAAAGGATAGTGTAAGAGAGTAAATACAAGAAAAACTACCAGTTTAAAAATAAATGTGAAGATATATTGCTATAGAATAGCCTTTTAACGTTAATATAATATTGGGATAAGGTGATTCTATACGTATATTCTATAGAATAGTAGAATAATGTTTATAATATTGCATGAAACATTGATAGATTAATGTTTTACCGATATCAAATAAGTGTCGTGTCACCATTCTAGAATCACGTGATAACGTCAATAGAATATCCCAATAATGATGGTTGAATAGCGTTATAACGTTGATAGAATATAGTTATATGGTTAAAAAAGGAGACAATTAATCAATAACGTTTCAAAACGTTTATTGAGTAGGGCCTTCAATTTAATACCGCTATAACCATGTTAAAAAGAGCGTTGTAAAATTAAAAGAAGTGAGATAGAACGCTCATTGTATAGCGTGATACAGTTAATAGAATATCGCTATAGATTTGTTAGAATAGCGTTGTGATATTAATAGATGATGACAACGCTAACGATAAGATTAAGCTCCTTAATGTTGATTGAATAGCGGTAATAGTATAGATTGATTCTTTTAATGGAATATCTAATAGATTCAATAAAATAACACGTCTACGTTTTTAGACTGGCTATATAACCTAATGGAATAATGTTCTAACTCTGACAGAATAACGATTTAACCGCAATGAAATAATATACTTACTTTGTTTGAACGGGGATAAGAAACCAATGGAACAACGTGTCAACGTTGACAGAATAGCAATATAACCTGAATTGAATAACTTCTACCTGAACGAATAGCGAAATGGCCTCAATAGAATAGCATTCGATCCTGTTATAACAGCGATATAACCTCAATGGAACAACGTGTCGACATTAATAGAATAGCTATATAACCTCATTATACAAACATGTCAACGTTGACAGAATAGAGATATAACCTGAATTGAATAACTTCTACGTGAACGAATACCGATATGGTCCCAATAGAATAACTTTCGATCCTGTTATAACAGCGATATAACCTCAATGGAACAACGTGTCGACATTAATAGAATAGCTATATAACCTCATTATACAAACATGTCAACGTTGACAGAATAGAGATATAACCTGAATTGAATAACTTCTACGTGAACGAATACCGATATGGTCCCAATAGAATAACTTTCGATCCTGTTATAACAGCGATATAACCTCAATGGAACAACGTGTCGACATTAATAGAATAGCTATATAACCTCATTATACAAACATGTCAACGTTGACAGAATAGAGATATAACCTGAATTGAATAACTTCTACGTGAACGAATAGCGATATGGTCCCAATAGAATAACTTTCGATCCTGTTATAACAGCGATATAACCTCAATGGAACAACGTGTCGACATTAATAGAATAGCTATATAACCTCATTATACAAACATGTCAACGTTGACAGAATAGAGATATAACCTGAATTGAATAACTTCTACGTGAACGAATACCGATATGGTCCCAATAGAATAACTTTCGATCCTGTTATAACAGCGATATAACCTCAATGGAACAACGTGTCGACATTAATAGAATAGCTATATAACCTCATTATACAAACATGTCAACGTTGACAGAATAGAGATATAACCTGAATTGAATAACTTCTACGTGAACGAATACCGATATGGTCCCAATAGAATAACTTTCGATCCTGTTATAACAGCGATATAACCTCAATGGAACAACGTGTCGACATTAATAGAATAGCTATATAGCCTCATTATACAAAAATGTCAACGTTGACAGAATAGAGATCTAACCTGAATTGAATAACTTACACGTGAACGAATAGCGATATGGTCTCAATAGAATAACTTTCTATCCTGTTATAACAGCGATATAACCTCAATGGAACACCGTGTCGACGTTAATAAAATAGCGATATAACCTCATTTATAAAGACATGTCAACGTTAACAGAATAGCAATATAACCTGAATTGACTAACATCTACGTGAACGAATAGTGATATGGCCTCAATAGAATAACCTAGGTCCTGATAAAATAGCGATATAACCTCAATGTAATAACGTTTACTGGTGTTCAACTTTCACTAACGATAAATCAGGCACACGCCCGTTATACTAGGGCTTGTAGTTTATTAAATTCAATGAATTAAAAGCTAAATATAAAGATCAAAGTATTTATATACCTATAATATACTTTCATATAATATTTTATCTTCACAGGCTAACCTTTTTCTTTGTATTGATAAAAACAAACAAACCTCGTTTATAAAGGTAACCAACATCTCTTTTGGTTAGATAAACCCTAAATTTCCATACTCTACCCGATCAATTTATTTGACGGTTAATCTATGTTCAGCTCCACTTCGAACTCATTTATAACCTTTGTCGTTTATCTTTTCAGTAGAAATCTACTCTTTTTTTTTTCACGCGCTTTTTATATTAATATTTTATTCAATTAAAACTTAAATAAATGATCGGGAACACAAAAATCTCTCTATATATTTCTCTAAATCTGTTTTTATTAACTTTCTAAACTATTTATTCTTATTTTTCTCAAATTTGAGAGTTAACATCAGAAATCCACCAGTAGCAAAATAATTGAACTTACTAGAAATTCTTCCTTTTTTGAATTTCTTGGGGTAATATGCATCGGACGCGATGACGCCACCTTCATCCGAGTAAATTCTGTTCGAGGAACCAAATTTTAGGTTTCGAGTTTCGTTACTGATAGAGATAAAAATCAATATTCAGAATAAATTTACATATTTTTCTTATTTTAACAGGCTAACGCTACTTTGCATAAATACCAACAACCAAGCTTTTTGTTTATACACCTACCAACACACACAGACACACACATTAGCTAGTATAAAATAAGTAATCTTAAAAAAACCTCAATCAAATAATACATTACGATGCACTAGCGCGCCATCTGTTATCAAATTACAAAACTATTTTAGAGGCGTGATATTATTTCTAAAATAAAACAATTTCTACTGTCCTTACTGCAATGGAAAAATTAAAGGGAGGGCCTGGCTCATCAGTGGTTAACCCTCCCAGCGGTTTCGCCAGTTTAATCTACCCTACCGCTGTTATATTGCATTTTTGGAACTTCCTTTTATAGTGAAACTGATGCTTGACTCTTCGAATGGGTATTTAAGATGAACTATGGACATAAGCTTTTATTATTATTATTATATGTAATTCTGCTGTCCTAAAAGCTTATGTCCATAGTTCATCTGAATATCACTATAAAAGGAAGTTCCAAAAATGCAATATAACAGCGGTATGGTAGATTAAACTGGCGAAATCGCTGGGAGGGTTCACCACTGATGAGCCAGGCCTTTCCTTTAATTTTTCCATTGCAGTAAGGACAGTAGAAATTGTTTTATTTCAAAAAGAATATCACGCCTCTAAAATAGTTATGTAATTTAATCAAATAATATATACATTAAAAAAAAGAATAAATTTGCTTATTCTAAACTCTGACGACATGCCAAAGTCGATGAAAGAGCGATTTATATATATATTATATTTAAATTAAAAAGATAGATAAGATTTCTGTTGTTTTGGATCATCTTGATGATTATGCTATGGTGGTGCAGTCGTGGTTGAATAATAGTCTTGATAAAATATAATGTCTTGATTAGTGATTTCTTTATTGAGCTGAGGAATGAATACAGATAAAAACATAATTTTGTACAAGTACTGCCTGGCTTAAGGCGTAAGAATAAATAAAACAAAATATTATTTATATAATTACAAAGTTTTGGGTCGGCCAACGGGGAAGAACAACAATGAGTATTTATAGGGAAAAGCGTGACCTCTGGCGGTCGATTAAAACAGAGTATTTATATCTATGAAATTATAATTTTAAATAAAATAACATTTTAATACATAACAATTTAAAATAAAATATTTCAATACAACATTTTAATAAAATTATTTTAATATAACATATATATACTAGCGGATGTGCCCGGCTTCGCCCGGGTTTTACCCGAGTAAAGGTTTGTCTAGCGAACATTTGTTAAAACAATTCTCTAAAAACTTATTTAAAAAAAAAATATATATATATATATATATATTGATAATTTGAAACTCGTAAATTTGAATCTCTCGATAAAGTGAACATTTTTTCCCGGTCCCTGTGAGCCGTGTCATCCTGAATTTTGTCTTTCCTAATTTTCTA